ATGTATCTCCGTTAATATTAGGCCTATTGGGTTCGTTTAGACCTTGTTTTAATCGGAGAAATGAGCTCTACAACTTTTCTTAGGACTATAAAGTAGGTTGTAAAGCTAGTTATAGAGAAATAATTAAATAAAGAGTTTAGAAACCCAAAGGCTGTTATTGCAGTATTAAACTGCGAGTTTAAGAACTATCTTTTTAAAACTTTCAGAATATATGTAAAATTAGTAGCTGAACAAGTTTACTTAAGATGCCAAATTTAGTATCTTAATAAAATAACCAGATATTAATGATTTTAGTACTGATGGTTTTTTAGTTATTTTTGTGTAAAAATGATTTACGGAAAGAGTGTATAGTTGAATTTTTTTTATAAATTTATTTGTTTATATTTTAATATTAGTATTATTATATATAATAATAGTATTACAAATTAAAATACTAATTGTTGTTTTTTTTAGCTAACTATATGAAATTATTAAAATAATAAGATATTTCTATATTTTTTACTTGCTAGACTATAAAGTATATAAATGCTAGTTGCTAATATTGGTTTTGGTTTTTAATATAACTATTATATTATAGTTTATTAATATTTGCTTATATATTATTCAAAGTTTGTTTATAGTTTAAGCTAAAGTTATAACTTTAGTAATATAATAATAGATAAATTATAGTTTATATAATAAGTGTTTAATTCTAATATATGTCTATTAGTTCTTGTATTTTATTATATTATAGTTAATAATACTTGGTATATATATTATTTTTAAATATTAATAGTAAGACTATGTCTTTAATTTTATTGAAATTTAACTGAAGTTTTTATAAAAAAAATTTATTTTTAAATTATATATAAAGAATAAAGACTTAGACATATAATTTGTAATCTAAATCTATAAAAATAACTAAGGCTTACTTAGATTTGAATTATTAGTAATAATATAAGAGAAAGCGATATGATATTTAATTTATTAGATAGTTTAAAGATCAATTTTAGTAATAATTTGTAGTATTAAGATAGAAGATAGACTAAACAAAGAACTATAAGTTAAATTTGTAATAAGTATAGTTTAAGACTGTGTAAAATATAAAATACAATATGCAATCTATATTTGTTTATATATTTATTAGTTTAAATAAAGAAGAAATTTAATAAAAAAAGAAGTAACTGTATAGTAAGAAATAGAAGTATTATAAATAGTAAAAATAAGGTTAATAGAAATTAGACCAGATAAGATAGAAATAAAAAATAACATATATGAAAAGTTATGCAATTTAAAGCTATTAAGTATAAGAATTTCTTAACTAAATTAGAAACAAAATTGGCAAATATGTTAAGAATAGTAATATTTATAATACAATTAAGAGAATTAAAGATTAAGTAATAAATTGTTTGAATAGAAAAACAAAGAGTTCAGTATAATGAAGAACTAATTTATTATATTGGTAATAGAGAAAGAAATAAAAGAAGTTATATTTGTAAAGAGTGTAAAAAACAAGTAGTTCATTTAAAAGAATTTTAATATAAAAGATTTTTAAAGTAAAAGAATAGAAGATATAAATAAAGTTAGAAATCTTTTGATTATTATTAATATAAAACCAAATAGCTTTATAGTTAATATTAGGAGCAATGATGAACCATTGTTGGAAATGATATTGGGATATTCAAAATGTTATGATGTGAGCTTGACAGATAGTATAAATGAAATATCAAATAAGAATCTCAATAAGAAATTAGTTAGTACTTAGTATATTAAGAATTTTATATTATATATTATAAATAGTATTTATTTATAGTTTTTTTTTTTTTTTTTTTTTTTTTTTTTTTTTTAATTGTTAAGGTGAGGTCATGCCCTCAAGTCTTTATTAGTATATTGGTTATAGCTAGTACAATTTTTATCATACATCATCTATCACTATATATCTATTCAGACATAGGATTCAGACATCTTTATCTGTGACCTAAATCTACCAGAGCTTTGTATTGTATCCCACTTACACCTAACTTGGATTTTTGTTTCATTACCGATTATATTAGGTAACCTGCATATTCTCCCCATGTCTCACAACCTATTTTTTATAACTTCCAAATTGGTTCACTGGGTCGTTTGCTTCTTTTGAAGTCCCATCTTTGGTTTGCTCGAAGAGTGCCTTTCTAGCATGTATCTCAAGCCAGGTTTCTGCTGCCGCTGCCATTTTTCCAATTCAGGTACTAGTAGCATGTATCTCAAACCAGGTCCCTGCTGCCACTGCTAGTTTGCAACCTTTCTTGGTCTTAGCGTTATTTAAACAGATTGTGCATTTAATCTGCCCCTTAAATACTCCCTTTTATGGTATAGTGGAACTATGTTTCGAAAATGTTACCCCATTTTCTTCCAGCCATTGGCCATTGTTTCCTTTCTACTTAAACACATGAGGACTTATCTTGTATTTGCACCGCCCAAAGCTGGTTTGCATCCCTCTGTGTACACTGATCTATACAGATACCTGTATAAATCTGCATTCCTACAGATGCCCATGCTTGTTCGCAAAGGTCACTTCCAATTTAGATATCTCAACTTTGATTGGTACGGCATTTATATTGGTGTATTCTACTTGTTTTGCTATAGGCTTTCATATAGGTGTGACCAGAGCTTCAGTTTGGTACCTTTAGACATAAAAAATAGGCTACAACTTCTCTATACGTACAGCTATCTTCTATTTTTAGTCATTCCACAATGCCAAAGGTGCTTCCAATCTTGATAAGGCTAATCCTTTGTCACAGACCTTCTATGCATGCACTGCTTCTCTCACCACTTCAGTATGTGTTACCTTGGTATCACTCGCCCAATCAATTACTTCCCAAGTTGGATGTGAAGATGTTGGTACTGCCCCATCTCCGGAGGACTTATATGTGCAATACTTTGTGTAACAGAATCTTTTGTGACACCACTATCACCCGTAGTGCCTGCTCTCTGCAAAGTCAGTCTTCTTTCAGGAATTCCTTTTTTTATCATGTACTGCACTTGGACTTAACCACAGGGCTTCGTGTTTAATTACTGGCTCCTTATAGGTTACAGAAGCTAAAATCTTTTTAATTTTGCCTCCAGCTGGACTTGAACTGTTGACCTTGACTATGGGGTATGGGAGCTTAACAATTAAGCTATGGGACCCACACCCATTTACTTATAGTTTTGTAATTTATATTTATAAAATATAAAAGATTTTTATTTTTTTATTTTATTTTTTTTTTTTGACAATCTTGTTAAAATCTTTTATATCTTGTATATATTTCTGAACAATATTCTCAATATTAAAGATTACTAGACCTCAATCTTTTCTGATTTATATCTTTTAATTTTTCAAAAATAATTTATTATACTGACCTCTGCTGAGATTAGAAGATTTTACTAAGTTCTGTTCAGAACCAGTTATATACTATAAGTTTATATAGTATCTATAAGTATCAGACTTTTGATCTTACATTATATTTTATGATTTTAGTTATTCCAAATTAGATGCTAACTTATGTTCTTTACTATGTGATTTTTCAACTGCAGGTTACTTGTTATTTTTAGAAATAAGTTCATCTATTGATATTCTAGGTCCTGGTCTTATAATGTAACAGATCCAGGATGTAGATAAGATTTTCCAGATTATATGCTGTTCAAAGCTCTGACCTAATCCTGAAATAGGTGCCCATCACTGCCAATCATCACTCTGTTACTTGCTTTTTTTTTACAAGAACTATTCTTTAATCCATATTCTTTCTTTAATGTTAGAGCACTTTAACAATACACACAGTACAAATCAAAAAACCATGTTAACTTAAATTTGTACCCAAGAGATTTCAGGTGAGGAGAGGGCTAAAATCCAAACCGAAGTACTTAGAGTAATTCTTAAAAACATATTGGACAAAGGCAATTACAAGAATCTAATAATATTAAAAGACTATAATGAGATTTTGATTTGGTAGGGTACTATTCTAAGGGTCCTTTTTGTAATCACAGCCTATGTTACATATTTTTCAAAATAATTACAATTTTATGTCTTTACTGTTTTATTATTTCTAGATTTTACAGCTTTTATTATAAAAATTTATTCATAAAGGTTTTTTATACAAAACGTATAGAAATACTTTGAATAAGATAAATTTTATTTTTGTTTTATATCTAAATTGAAACTTTTATGCTTTTTATTTATGAGTAACAAACTTCTTTATAATTGCAAATAATGTAAAATTTATTATACAAAATAAGTTAATTTATATATGCTTACAAGTTTATGCCTTTATTGTTTTATTATTTCTAGATTTTACAAAAATTTTTATTTATGAATTGCGAAACTTAAAAGTTTTATTATACAAATCACGTCAAAATACTTCAAATAAGATGAGGTTTTTGTTTTATTCTAATTGAAACTTTTTATGCTTTTTATTTGAGTAACAGAACTTCTTTATAATTGCAAATAATGTAAAATTTAAGAGAATAATTCGGATTATAAATTTTTAATTTGTTTCATTTGTTTTATTTTGAAACTTTACACTTTATTAAATTTATTTTATTTTTTTTTGAATAGTGACTGATTATAAAAATTAATACTATCATACTGATACAGGTAATAAATTTTTAAAATTTACACATATTTTTTTATAATTTGTATTCTCTGACAAATTATATATTTTGAATTTTTTATTGTAAATATAATGTTCATGAAGTTGATCCTCGCCACATCGGATTATGCCTTCTTTTATTTTGTGCTATCTCAATATCATTCAACATTGTGAACAGCCTATCCATATTATTGGTTACACAGATAATGTGGTTGAAATTATTTGCAGCAAGTTCTTGCTTGAGGTGATCTGCCATATGTCTTATAGCTTCAACTTTTTGTTTACAGGACTGGCGAATTTCCAGATCAAATACTTCATCATTTTCACCCATTTTGACCAAGTTATCACCTGATTTTGCACCAGGTGCCTTATTTTCTTTATCCATTTCAATTATATTATTACCAGATTCAACCTGGGAAGCCAGGGTATTAACCTTTGTTAGCATGTGTTCATTAGTATTCCAAACTAGAAAAGGATAATCTTCTCTCCATTGGAAGTTTTGATACAAAAGTCGGATGGCTTGTGGATTTTGTAGTTTTGCCATTACTGTTGCACGTTTGACCAGATGCTTACAAATAAGAAAGTGGAAATTAAGAAATGATGGGCAGCTGCAAATCCAACGTGCTGAATCAATAAAATAACAGGTATGATCATAATCATCAATTGGTGTTGCAGCGAGCTGATTTCAATCTATCTTGAAATCTTCAAACCAAGATGGTGTAATGTGCCTATGGCACACTTGATGAAGATGAATTAGTTGGTCAAAAAGGAGGTACGTACAAATAATCTATACAACATAATCAAGCCATGGCCTGTTGAAGTGATAAAGGTAACAATACTTTCAACTTTCCAATGTGACTCTATTAACATATTTGTCTTACTAATTAGGATAATTGTTTATGATGACCGAGCCTACAGTGTTCACCTTGTGATCTTATACCATTTGAACCACAAGTATGCCCAAAGAAGTACAAGGTCATTGTTGAAGCAGAAATCATATATTTTACAAACTGCATCATTACGGATTTTGTAAGCTGTTAAAAACAGCCTAGCAGCATTAACTGATATTTTTGGGTGCATGTTGAAATGTTTTTTAATAAGATTAACAACTTCATCCTGTAGTTCTACTGGACATATAATATAGTGCTCAGGGTCTATATGATTTAAATTAGGCTTGAAGGTGGGGTTGATAAAATTAAACTCTTCAACTGCTTCACTTGGTCAATACTGGGTTTGTTTTATTTTTTTGCAGCTTCTAATTTTTTTTCTTATTGCCTTCTCAATATGTTACAGACAAAGTTGCACATTAATATTAGGCCATACTTCCTTTGCAGCATTGATCTGAGCAAAGTCTTTGTCTGTGAAGAAGTGTCATAGCTGTAATCCTTTATTGCAAAGAGAGCGAAGAAAACCTGTGAGTGCCTTTGTCTTTAGCTCTATTTGAGCATTATCGAATGCATTTGTGGTGTTTAGCATTAGATATGCAACTAGAAATCCTGCGTCATGTGTACTACTGATTATGCCATAAAGTTCAAACCACCCTTTGGCTGTTTTGTATGTTGCATCACAATGAATACTTGACACAGGTAAGAGTTTAATTAATAATGGAGTTATAAATCTAATTGCTGTAACTGATTTATCATTTTACTCATAACAAAACTCGCCCTTATTGTTAGGATTATCTAAAAATCAACATGTGAAAATAAATGGATTTTCATCTAGCTTGAAGAATTGCTGATTAAAAGTGGACCACCAGTAATTGATTTGTTTTGAAGTAACCTGTAAAGCATCAAATCTTTGATGAATATGTGTTCTTAGCTGCACTGAATCCATATGAAGGTTATGCATAATTTCATATTTTATTTCTTCTGATGTTGTAACATCTACAGGCTTTTCATGCTAGATATCATAATTAAGCTTTATTTTTGCTTCTTTTGCTGCTATATCTATACCAATAATTAGCTTGCCATGACAATCAAAGTGGTCCATCCTTTTACAATTTGATTTTTTATACTTGCATTCTAATTCATGGCACTGAGAACATGCAAGATAAAATTTACTTACTCCAAAATAATGCACTGAGTTAGTGGGCCCAGTGTAAATCTATGAATATAAAAAAATAATTAAGACTTTTAATAAAAAAAATATATATATTACAACACTATGGTAGCTTGTAATTAGAGATAACTGATTTTTTAATTTTTATTTTTTAGAGTTTAAATTAAAAATTAAAGACTACTCATGTCCAGTTATACCTGTCACCTTCCTCAATCTCGTCTACTATTAACTTTACCAAAAGTTTTGTATCATGTTGTACATTTGCTAGTATATTATCATCAATTTTAATGCGCAAGTTAAAAGAAATGCCTAAGTCTTCTTCAAGGTTAGAATTTTGATTAGAAATATATTCTATAATATTAATAAAGGTGATTTTATCTGTATTGTTTTCTGATTGACTTTCTGTTCTGATATTAGTGCTTTCAGAGTCATTATCAGATGGAAGAGATTGTTTCTCTGCTTTCTTGTTGGATCTCTTAGTTAAGCAATTGGCACATGTCTTGTAAGACTTGTTTTCAAAAATAAATGTCTCTAAAGATAATGAAGTGTGCTTGTATGAGAACATGATTTACCACTATTCATGTTTTGTTATTAAAATAGTAATCACGTAATATAAGATATTAACTGAAGTTTTATTTTAATTGTAGGATTTTTTTTTTAACTATTAATGACTCGATAACCTTCTATTAACTTAAAGGTAAAAATCAGTCTTTTTATAGACACTTGAAATTATAAGAAATTACTTATATATAATATCTTTTGTTATTTCATTAATGAAAATAGGATCATGTATATTTCATCCTTTTCATGTGAGTTTAATGCATAGTTGACAGTAAATTATTAAATCATGGCATTGCGGTTTTGCCGCAATGTATATATATTATGATAATTTGACTGGCATAGCTATATGCAGCAATTTGTATAGTTTCTATTTGGTCCCACTAATTTATGCATATATATGCACTATGTCGCCATATTAAAGGTATGCTTGTTCCAAATTGCAGGTAAATAAAAAGTTGAAATATTGATAATATGGTCACATAGTTATAGCATTGTGGCTTTGCTGCAATGTGCATATATTATGGTAATTCAACTGTCAACTGCAATTTGTATAGTTTCCATTTGGTTCTACTAATATATGCATTATGCTGCCATATGCTTGTTCCAAATAACAGGTAAATAAAAATTAGAACATTGATAATATGGCATGTAGAACATAAAACACATATTGCATATATACAAACAAACGAATATACATACATACACACATCGAATTTTCACAAAACTCGTGACTATATAGAATCTCTAACAAATTCTATGCTTACTTACGTAAAAGTCATACCTATATCGAATTTATGTGCATAATGTGCTAAATGCACAAAAGAAGTTTTTAATTTACTATTGATCTCTTTGTTTTATAATACTGTATTGGGATTTCTTGTTCTAAAGCATTGGCATAAGATTGTATTATGCTAAGACAAATTTAGCATGATAACATTTTTGGCATTTGTGTATTTTCATTTTACTTAAAATAAAGATCTATACTAATTTATCTTCTTTTTTTAATGTTCTATGAGATGAGACTTTAAACTAACATCTACTATGTATGCATTAACATCGTTAACTATACTTCTTGTTAGTTAATAGTTCTTATATTTGGTTGCCAAGAGAAATCAGATTTTGGGCTCTTTAAATTTATAACTTTTGGACTCAACCTATCAAAATTCCAAGAATAGGGTCTTGTAAGTTATAAATTTAAAGGTCCAAAGACTGATTTTTCTTTCAAGTCATCTACTTTCTTGCTAATATTTAACTTTTTTACATCTAGAGTTCGATTGACTTAGGCATAAGAATTAAAATTGGTTGTTCATATCATATAAGAGACAGAACTATTATACTAGAAATCGAGTTGTTAAAGATTATTTGTATTATCTTATGTTGTTGTTTCTAAAGTGTAAGTATAAGGCAAATAAATTTGTATTAATAATTCAATTGATATGTTGCTACATTCATATAAGATTTCTTAACATTTATTATGAATAATTTAGTTGGGTAAGTATAAATAATTATTTATCTGGCATAAAGTTAACATTTAAATTATTGAATCTAATTTAAGTTTTTATTAATTTAGTAGGTATTAAAAATTATTTATTAATCAGTGCACTAAATAAACTTTTCCAAATTTATCATTATTTATTATTACATCAATATCTTGATAAATTTGAATATGCAAAATATAGTTCCTGATGAATCACTGGTACTGTTCCTAATGGGATTGATTTATGTACCATTTCTGATAGGGTTCTTAAAAGACCCAAAGTTGATTCTCATAATGATGCTTAGTTATAATGTGAATACTAAGTCATGACCCATGATTAATTTACAATGTTGGTTTCAACTTGCCTAAGTATTGGTCTTAAAATACTACAGTACCAAATCTATGTAAAAAACTTCCATAGGTGTTATTCAAGACATGTAATTTGAGGAGCTAATAATTAATTTAGCAAAAGAATTAACATTAAATTATAGTATGTTCAACTAAATTAAATATTAGCTCTCTTTGAATTACATGTTTTAAAATAACATCTATGTGTATTATTTTGCACAAATTTGGTAAGAATATTGTGTTGAAAAACATTATTAAATGATAGTATGCTAATTACCATTTTTTTTTTTTGAATTTTTTTTTATGTTATGCATTATCTTATAATTCTATCAGGAATTGTATGTAAATTGATTTTTTTTTCATTCCATCAGGAACAGTACCAATGATCCATCAGGTATTAGTATTTTGCATTGGATACATTTGAAAAAAAACCTTAATTGGAATTTTTCTAATTTTATTCCCATTAATTTAGAGTTAAGGATAGAATATTTATTTTAGCATTTGAAATAGGTTATTTAAGATCTAAATATTTATCTCATTTATTTCATGCTAATTTATTTAGAATGTTAAATATCTTAGTTTCCATTATGATAATATGCCCTATTTTAATCGGCAATTTTATAATTTGTAAGTATAATTATTTATCTATATATTTAAAATGAGTTAGAATATAATATATCTTATCTAATTTATTTTTCATCGATGTATTTAAAATAACCAGTTCAATTTACACAACACTTTAATTACTCCAGCCTAATTGGTAAGCATAAAAGTTATTCATTGATATAATTATTTATTAAGCAATTGATTTTGATAAATGATTCGTTTAATTTAAATTTACCAATAAATTAATTTTAAATAATTAAAATTGTTATTCTTAGAACCACTTTTACATACTTATAATCGCAACAATCAATTTTTCATATACTATTTGTCCACATTGTTGAATGTACAGACCAAATCCTTCTTTGCCAATTTCTTTAACATCAAATAGGCTATTAAATAGTGTCAATTCGATTATATCTTTATAAATAAAGGTTTTTGATTGAACTTTTTAACATGTTTATTAATATTATAATTTATTAATTTTAAATGTGGAT